AACTTTGTAGAGCACATATGTACAATCAGGCTACATGTGGCGGAGTTGTTGCTCCTGAATTGTCATTCTAAATGAATACGATACACCAGACGGATAATCGCCTTTAGCGGGTTTGGATTGCCCCAAACCTCCAGACCTGGGGAAGTGGGCCATCCGACGGTTCCGACCCTTGTCGCGGAGTGTCGCAGAAGTTGACGCCTCCTCCTCTCGGCGCACGCGTTTAGTAACTTTAATCCTCGATAATTGTACTCTGGAATACTTACACCGTAGTTTTCATTCGGTAGTCCGATCCGACCTCGGGCGAGAAAGTTACTACTGTGGTGGAGTCTCTGACCCGTCGGGGAGTGTCGGCGAGTGGCTCAATTGTAGGAGGATCACATATAGGATCACGATATTTATTGCTGGGTTTCTCGCCGATATTCTTCATGGAATAGTTCCTCATATTCTCGTCTTGGCTAGTCGAGTAATCCCTATTCCTAGCAAAGTCAGGAAATACTCTCGCCGGCCATCATGGGCTCATACGCAAACCAACATTCCTTCCTGCGTGTGTCTGGTACAGATATAATCGACGGCCATGGCCGACCCCTCATCCTCAAAGGTGCTGCTATCGGAGGCTTCCTTAACATGGAGAACTTCATCACCGGATACACAGGCCACGAGCATGAACACCGCGCGTCCATGGCATCTGTCCTAGGGAAAGAAAAAGCACAATACTTCTTCGATCAACTGCTACACCATTTCTTCACAGAAGAAGACGCTGAATTCTTCGCATCGTTGGGTCTGAATTGCATCCGGGTCCCCTTCAACTACCGACACTTCATGGACGACCAGGAGAACCCCCCTGTCTTCAAGCAAGCTGGCTTCGATATGCTCGACAGGGTGGTGGGAATCTGTCGCAAATATAACCTCTACGTCATCCTTGACCTCCATGCCGTTCCAGGCGGCCAGAACCAAGACTGGCATTGCGATAGTGGTCTCTCGCGCGCGATGTTCTGGGACTTCAAAGTCTTTCAAGATCAAGTGATTGACCTTTGGGTTGCTATTGCGAAGCACTATGCCAATAATCCCACTGTCGCGGGATACAACCCTCTCAATGAACCCGCCGATCCAGCACACGTTCGACTCCTGGACTGGTACGGCCGCGTTCATGCCGCCATCCACGCCGTTGATCCGAATCACATTCTCTTTCTCGACGGGAACACCTACTCGATGGATTTCTCTCACTTCGAAAGTATTCTCCCCAACGTGGTCTACTCCTGTCACGACTATGCAATGATGGGCTTCCCTATCCCTGGGCAGCCATTGTACACCGGCACAGAGGAGCAAAAAGCAAAATTGAAGTCCCAGTTCAATCGGAAAGTCCAGTTCATGCGTGACTGGGACGTCCCCATCTGGAACGGCGAGTTCGGTCCTGTCTACCCAGATGCGCAGAGAGGCGAAAATGCGCAAGAGGTCCTGCGGTCCCGCGTTGAGCTTCTCCGTGACCAGCTGCGGATTTATGCGGACTCTAATGTCAGCTGGAGTATTTGGCTGTACAAGGATATTGGGTATCAGGGGATGGTCTACGTCAAGCCGGACACGCCGTATATGAAACTTATTGGCGAGTTCGTGGAGAAGAAGCAGCGCCTTGGTGTGGATTTCTGGGGGTGCACGGATAAGACGGGTGTAAGTCATGTGTATGAGCCGTTTATTGCGAAGCTGAAGGAGATGATTCCCGTGCATCTTCATAAGAAGAAATATCCGCCGGTATGGACGTTTGATCGCCAGGTGGAGCGGGTGGTGAGAGAGTGTCTGGTCAGTGAATATCTAACCTGGGAGTTTGCGGAGCTGTTTGAGGGAAAGACCAAGGATGAGCTGGAAGAGTTGGCTGCTTCATTTGCATTGAAAAACTGTGTGCAAAGGCAGGAGCTAAACCTGGTGCTAGCTGAAGACGCTTATAGAACGAAAGCGTGATAAAATGGCCGAGGAAAGAAAACAGGAGGGCTCCGGTGGTCAAAGTCGATGACGGTTAAATACCATGCATAGAAGAACATTCATTTTATCGATTGCTTGCTCTTATGTCGTAATACGCCTTACGTTCACACTCCTAAGCCCTCGCGCTCAGCTGGTGGCAGAGATTGGGTTGATAAATTCATCGTGGGCCCTAATAAGTAATGAGATCATAATAGAAGACTACTTTGATTGTTAGCTGATAGGCTTAGGATAATAGGCTAAAGAAGCTCCTACGGTCTCCTACTATTTAGGAGACACAGAAGGCTATAGGTTCTTACCAGTATAATAAAACGCCTAGTAGTACCTCTTAGAATAGCTTAATACAATCTAATATATAAGCACTCCTTCCATAACCTGACTGGCTAAGCCACCGCTAAGGTCATACAGCAGGCAACAGAAGGTCCTAAACGCCTGCTCCAGTAGGAGCAATGCGGCTATCCTTCCCGAGCTTCGACCTGAGTTGCAAACCTGCTCAGAGTCACATAGGGAGATCAAAAGGCGTCTGGTAGGTAAGAGAATGGGTATAGAGCGGCAAAATCAGTGCGATATTCAGGGCAATCGAGTGCGATGTGACACCTGGTGTTGCCTAGGGCATTGTTGAAAAGAAGGAAGAATCCTTACTAGAGAAGAAAATGGACAACAGAACTGCGATATCATCAGCTGGGCAAGGTAATTATTATCAGCAGCATGGAAGGCAAAGGCTACAGTATACTTCTTTCTCTGGGATAAGATCTTAGTCAAATCATATGGTAATCGTCTCTATCTAGGGAAGACTCTATTACCAGTCTGTGGGAAAATAACTAAACCCTTTAGATAACGCAACTAAGGCACATTGATCATTTATTAGGTATCCTAAGGTAAGGTAGGCCTTATACACTATTATTTGAAGAGAACAGGGCCAGCCTATCATAGGTCTTATTCAAATTAACGAGAAGATACACAATATATCTTATAACAGTCAATTATGTGGATACCAGCTTGTGATATAGTTAGATTCACTACATTTCTTGGCCTTCTTATCTTTTGAGAAGCTTTAAAATAGACTTAGCTATGTCTAAGCTAGTTACCTTTAGCAGTGTAGATACAAGCTGTACTTTTCTTCATATCAGTTAAATATTCACCACCCTCCTCAGCCCAGTTATTCTTTGGGGAGCTTGGAAATAGACCTTGAAAGTGCTAGACTCCGCACAAACCATCATTTAATGTTTGCCAAGGTGAATGCTGAGTAGTCCACACCTCATCGTCCCTGACAGGCCGACAGTCCGATGGATGCTGTCGTGCCATCCCTGTTTGTGTTGACCCTACTGTGCTATCTCATCCCTACTAGCTAGAGATAGTTGTCTGGGACAGCTTTTTGGCTGAGTGGGAGGCGTATGACAGATGTTAAGCAGTGGGACCCACGACGTCCGCCAACGGTGGATCAACCGCTCAATCGTGGGATGGGCTCTCAACGGCATTATCAACGGTGCTGATGCGGACCTCTTATGGAGTGGAGTGGAAACAAGTACGTATTTTCTACTTCAGTTATGGTGTTGCACTAACGATATGCAACAACGTAGCGTTGGACAATTTCTGAGGCGTTTACCAAGGATAGGTGAAGCAACCTGATCGTTACCTTCGGGTGGACACCGGCCCTGAGCCTCGAATTGTTGTGAACCCGGTTGGAGTGAATCATTCCCACATTTACGGGGTGATAAAAATCTATGGCTGAGAGGCAATGCGTCCGTCGTCTGAGTAATATTGCTTAAATGGTCCACATTACTATACAGCAGAATCAAAGGCACCACAGAAATTTAGCATCGAGATACTACTGGCAACCTCTTTTCAACCACTATGGTAATCATCTGCTTACATCCACGACGCGATCCTCGACCTAAAGCTGACATTCAGCGGGCACCTTTGCCTCATAATGAGCTGATACAATTCACAAAAGGGGAGTTATTCGGACCAGCACTGTTACCGGGTCAAGCGTCAGGTACTGTACTTGACCTGGATGTTGTTACACTCTGGGACTTTTCGTCTGAAGTGATTAAGGCTATGGGAATGCAACCTGCGTAAATACAGATCCGACTGGGTAGTCTTTTCATGTATGAACAGAATGCAATTACTTTGTTTTGCTCCAGTATATGTCTTATCTCTTTAAAGAAATGCGAACATAAGCTCGGATGGCAACCTACATGGCCCGCTTCGAAGAAATCCCCCAGGCCGTTCTTTAGAGGCAAATATTTCTGAAATTTTCAGCCCCGGATGTGGTGATAGCCATGGAGAGCTGCTACCATATTACTACAAATCTTTTAGTTGAATTACAGCCAAGCACTAGCTGGTTAGTAGTTAGGTAGGTAACCACCAGTGAATCTAGGCTGTTATATATGTATTTTTTCAGTTCTATTTCCTGTCTTTTTTTCCATTTGTTGGGCTCAGTTTGCCTGAATATTATAACATTCCTATAGAGTACATGTATTAGGAAGCTATGAGTAGTTCCTAGGCTTGACCATATAGTCTGGTTTTATGATGTCATTCACATCTTGTGATGGTTAATCAACATATTATCTCATCATTCTCAGTCTACGTACCATGCAACACTGTATAATTTAGAAGTGGTGAAAATGAAGTAGTAGTAGTAGTAATCATTTAACTTCTACTACAACTTCTACTTTTACTTCACCTCTACTTTACTTCTATGTCTACTTCACTTCAATTCATACTCTTGCCTGCTAGTGATACTAACTATTCGCAATATTATTAGTGAATTATATTATGCTTATGATTAATATAATTCTAAAGGTATGAACTATATTATTTCTTACTGCTTAAATTCATCCTGCTAAATCTCAATCTTTCACTAAATTCACAGTCCATCAACACATTACCTTATGTATTAAACTCTCAGATCTCAACCTAGGGCCTGAATCTACCAACTTCTCAACCTCTCAGAATACCAATTACTTCCCTCCAAGGCAAACTTGATTCTCTGCCCCGTCTCTCCCATCCACACTCCTGAACTGACTATGGCTACCCTGTCTACAGACAGCCAGGACGATACCTACTCCTCCACCATCATGAATCATCATCAGAGTGATCCCACAGTCATAACAGGCGAATACCGTCTCTCCAATGGCATTACTTCGACAATCACTAGAACATACTCAAACTTCAAACAGCTCGAGCAAGCTGCCCATAGTGTTCTGAAAACCCTTGAGGCAAACGATTGCGACGGTAACCAATGGATTCTGGTTTTAGGACTCACCAAAGAAGCAATAAAGCGTCTAGATAATGACAAGGAATGTCTTGGAGGCGTCAACTTTCGTCCTGAGTGGGAGGGAACTACTGGCCTAATCAAAGTGATCCCAGGAGCTACCCATGAATCGCTGATCGATGCCTTCAACCTGAAGGTTAACTCTGACCTCCAAAATATGGGCATCCACTGGTCAGAACGACGATGGATAGGCACTACTACATACTAGCCTGCCAACAACAAGGGAAAGGGAGCTGACCAGGGATTCACTCCCCCGTCACGGCAAGGGGCTCAGGGACAGACCCGAGGATGGCCAACTCTGGTCATTGAGGTTGGTGTCTCGGAGTCCATTTCCAAGCTGCGTTCCGATGCCAAGTTCTGGCTTAACAATTCCAGTGGCCAAAGCAGATTCGTCATTCTCATCAACACTAAAAGGGCACGGGTGACGTTCGAAAATTGGATGCTGATGCCGCCTAATGCCCCTAACCCGGCCCCCCCGGCGTACGTCGCCGCGCTTCGCTCACGACCCATCCACAGTCCGCCTCTAGTAAATCAGCCAGCTGCTAGCCAGCAGCTTTACTCAGCCCAAGAGGTTGTCGTTACTCCAACCGGGATGACAGGTGCCCCGATGATTTTTCCCTTCCGGGCCCTGTATGACAGGGCACCAGGACCGAATGAGACGGATATTACCATCACCGCACAGGACTTTCGGGCATTCGTCCAGACTGTTTTCTGAGACACTCGATCAAGTGGCTCGTAAATTGACTGTCTTAGCTTTTCTTTGCTTTGTCTTTCAATTTCAATGTTGTTGACGAGATTTGGGGGGAGTTAACTATGGTTGTCATGTCCAATATTCCCAATAGTTTGAGAGAAACCCAATACGAAGAGTTCGCTATTATCAAAGTTTCAGCAAGCAATAAGTTCATGGACCTATTCCATTTCAACAAAGGCAGCCAGCCACTCTTTGAAAATAGTGCTTACGGAGTCGGAGACTAGAGTATGATAGGCTGCATAATCTCCTCATGTCCAAATCCCACACTCCCAGGATAGATTAATCAATGAAGGGTTAACTCATCATTTTAGTGCCTTTTCCCTAGCTACTGATAGGCGGATTAGAGTCGCCTATCTTACCTTTAGGAGGGGAAGAGAGCTCATATGAAGTTGAACTTCACCCCTTTACCGTGGTATTTATTACTAGGGATGGAGAAGTCAACAGTCCTACTCATATAGCATGCTCATGCTATATCCAACCCATGGAGTGCTAGGATTAACAGAACAGAGACCCTATCTATCAAGCAAGGCGGTATAAGGGATTAGGAGGGGCAATATCATCACTTGCAGTGGATAGGTCACATGAAGATCAACCCATTACCTTTCTATCCTAGAAGAGAGATGGACATACAGCAAAAGGATTACATTATATCTATACTAGTCCTATTATATAAAAAGACGTGTAAGATATTCACATCTGCTGATGGCAATGGGCTATAGAATCTTAGCCCATGCACTGTCTTGTTTAGGAGCAACAGCACACTTCTTATCCAGGCTAAGCTGAATGGCCGGATCATGCTGTATCATCTTGGACTGGGCCGCCACTATGATTAATTACATCCTGAGACATTGCATTAGTTGATCCATGATGTTTTAGATCCATTGTGCATGCGACGCCTGTGCGATCTGATTCATCAAGAATCCTAATCACCCACCGCAGTCTAGTCGAGACCCCAACCTGGAATATCTTTGACCTGGCCGCTCCAACTGAATCTCTGCAGACGTTGTCCATGTTAACAATCATATGATGCTGAGCTGGTTAAGTGGTTATTCCCTCTAAACTAGTATCCCCTCAGCGCGGTTTGAGTTAGCAATTATGGTAACTCTCATATTTCCAAGGGAAAGGGACGAATCAGCGTTGGCGATCACGAGGAAACCTATACCCCAGGCAACAGTAAGATTTGCAGATGTCACATGACTATCGTTCGCTTAAAAGGCCTCCAAGCGAAATCCACTCAGGTATCGGGCCGGCCTTGCTTACTAAAAACGGTTAACATAGGCTGTCTAAGACAGTAGCACCTTAATTCTAGTCGCGTCTGGCCCCGAAATCCTGCGCCATTCCGCCTAGGTTGAACATCCAGACGCAAAAAGAGATCAATATTAATGCACGACTCTCAGGCTCCCCCGCCACTCATCTACGTGAATCTTGATCATTAGGTGAAAAACGCCACTGCACTTCTCATGAGATTAAATAGACACAGTTTCCTGAAAATTACAATCGCAGAATGTTCTATCTGTGTCATGCCATTCTCCATAATCATCTAAATTCGCAATAGCTAGACAAACGATGTAACACTGTGGCATAGTGACTAGTCACTAGTGCCATTACGGACTTTATCCTGGTTGGTAGCTGTGGCCTCGCTGGGCGAAAGCCTTTCTTGATCATTTATACAAGCATCGACTCAGGTAGAAGCCAATCTGAGCCTCTGAGGCTATTCATAGGAAATGGGACAGTGCTCGGGGAAGAGTTTCGGAGGAAGCTTAGAAGCTTACGGAGTAGAGGCTACTTATTAATCTTGACATTGAGATTTGAGAAAATAACAGGGCCCGAGGGTTCGAGACTCATTCCATCCTATTCCGAAAATGGAATAAGCGTCTATCTCGATCGTGTCGCCTGATACGCCACTAAGGAACAATTAACATGATTATTGAAGCTCACTGGGTCAAATTCCTAACGCGGACCTGGAGCGATTGCATATATCTTGTTCAAGATCTCAAGAGAATTCGTTGCTCATCAATTGATTTTTCGCCGCATTTCTCGTATTCTAAGATCAGCGAGATCCAAGGTAGCACTGAGGCGCTGAGGCCCTGACGTGATTGGGTGAGGCTGTATGATAGAAAAGAACCCGTCAGATCCGACTGAATCAGGAACAGGTGGGTAGCTTCAAGGTGGGGCGGCTTTGAGCATTAGGCTTGACCAATCACAATCTACTATGTTGGTCAGCGCACCAGGTAAGCCAGTAAAATTGCAAGAAACAGACCCATCGAATCTATGACTCGCCATGAATTTAGCCGGTGTGTCGTTGCACCAATGGATTGACACCCAGCTGTGGGGGCCCCACTTAGCGGGTGCGGCGTTGCTTTTCCATAATAATTTTTCCTTGGTGCTACGCAGCTTACAAGTATTACGCAGTAGACTAGCCTAAGGCAAGGCAAAGGCGGTTACCTAACCAGTCTCAACGACGATGAAAATGCTGGCTCGTGTTTGGTCCTGCGTGACAAGGATGACAATGGCGATGACACCTCGCATAAGCGCTAATTGACCTGTCTTTCTTATTTCGAATTTTCTTTCAGTGGAACCGTGGACGTCTCCTGTCCGCAGCGTCGTCTTCTCACCTGATCGTCGTAGATTATGAAGCAGACATTTGCGCAGCAGACAGATTCAATGTCAAGACGACGGCTGTCCAGATGGCCGGCCCGCCGGACAGCAGTCACAACTTGCACAGCGCTGATCTGTCTCTGGCTCTTCACCTTGATGTTGTATCGGCGGGGAGATTTCGCGCTGGAGCCTGATGGTGAGTTTGCACCCCTTTCCAAATAGGCAGACACACTGACCGGCTAGAATTCGAGCAAAACCACCATTCCATCACGCAGCAACTCGCCGACATCACCAAGACATACTCATCCAATAGCACTATCGCGCTGGTGCTAGCCGCGACACAATCGGAAGATCTGACCTGGCTGCGGGATTACTGCCGTGACCAGTACGTCATCCCCGTCCCTCCAGTTCCTCCAAACCAAGCCATATGCTGATACTAGGCAAAACAGCGACGCCATCCCCTTCATCTACACTACCGACCGCAAACCCGCTCCGCACCTCCTCGTCCCCCACACCACCCGCGGCCGCGAAGCAGCCGCCTACCTCTCCTACGTCGTCGACTTCTACGACCAACTCCCCCCCTACACCATCTTCATCCACTCCAACCAAGACCAATGGCACAATGACCTCTTCGGCCCCAAAACCAGCGTCGCGCTGCGCAATCTCCGCCTCGAGGCCGTCGCCGCACAGGGCTACGTCAACCTCCGCTGCGAACACGAACCAGGCTGCCCGACAAACGTGCACCCCTGGTCCCCGACACAGATCGATATCGACAAGAAGGATATCCGCGCGTACTTTCCCCAGGTGTACCAGACGCTGTTTGGCGTCGGCAAGGAGCGCGTCCCCGAGCATATCGGGAATGTCTGCTGCGCACAGTTTGCCGTCAGCAGGGAGCGGATCCTGCAGCGGCCGAAGCGGGACTATGAGCGGATGTTGGCGTGGGCGGCGGAGACGGATCTGACGGATAGCTTTGGGGTCGGGTGGGTGTTTGAGAAGGTCTGGCATGTGGTGTTTGGCATGGAGGATATCTATTGTCCGCGCTTTGAGCAGTGTCGCTGTGATGTGTATGGGTGGTGTGGGCCGTTGGCCAATGGGGAGACACTGCAGGCAGTGAGGGTGAGATCCTAGCTGGGTTTTATGTATATTGCTGGATATGACCGTATAGACGATTTGGACATTTCACGTACTCGAAACGGCATATAGCGTTCGTCATGTTAATGTTAATGTTAGAAGAAATGGCTGGCTTCAACTTCAGTCAAGGATTGCACCTGGCAATACAACCTGTACATTTGCTCGTTATCTACTTGGCATACAACTATGGACATGTCATAATCAATCATTATTCGCGGTGGATAGGCTGCTGGTGGTTGCTCATTCCGCCTCCGTCCAGCTCATAGATAGGAGACTGGGGCCTCGTTCGACCGGTCCCCACCTCGTATACATTCCCGCTGTCTAGCATCGGAACATCCATCTCTGACGGTGGAGGTCGCGGCGCTGCGGGTGGGATATGATGTAAAAATAGCGAGGGGTCGGAAGTGACTCTTTGGTGGGACGCAGAAGCCGAGGACACTGATGGGTCGGACCCAGGAAGTAATGATACAGGAACAGACATTCTCTCGGATCCGGGGAGCAAGGATGCTGGAACAGAGGACCTCGCGTCTGCCGCTGGTGGTGGGGATAGTGGCTTTCGGGGGATACTCCTCTCCACGTCCTCTTGGGGCGGCGTGAGCTTTGAAGTCAGCTTTTCTGTGTTGGTTGCGAGGCCGGTGGGAGCTGGTATTGGCGACGTGGCAGCCTCCGTCAATGTCTTTTCTGTCCGTCGATTCTGTTGGCGCTTTCGTCGGCGGATGAACAGCCAAAGGAAGAAGAGAATCAGCAGGACGACGATCACCACTGCCACGGCGATTCCGGCTTTTGCACCCGTGCTGAGGCCATCGCTGCCGGATGACTTGTTGCTTTTGCCGGTCGTGCATGAGTACGAGCTTTGGAATACTCTGTCCTCTCCAGACCGTTGACTATCCAAACTTGAGCAGTTGAAGGTACCTGAGCTATGGATTGCAGTCGGTCCCCGGACTGTATCGAGATTCGAGAAGGAGATTCTACGCCTCGTCAGGTCTGTGCGAAATACAGGAAGAATATACCAGAACGAACCGATTGAAATCACCAGAGACGGTCAGGCCCCCCCTGACCTCGTCCAGATCACTCAACGACAAATCTTTCAGATTTCGATTGTTCTCCACTTTGATGTCTCCTCCAACGGTCTGTAGGTTGGACATTGAGATTTGATTGAGCGCATCATTGTTCGCCACGGTCAATGTTCCAGTAATGGTCTTCAGGTCCGATGCTATCAAGGAACTGAGGTTCGAAGCTCCGCGAGCTGTGAGAGGGCCCTGGATTGTCTCGACTCCGTGAAGGTTGACTGCCCCGCTCGCAGAGCTCGTCATGGTCACACTACCGCGGACGGTGTGACATGAGGCGATGGAGTCTGCATCTGCTTGGGATGCAATGTTTACATCGGTGTTGCCTGGTTGTTTAGCAGTGATCAAGTATGGACACACATTTCAACTTACATCTCGGGTTGGAATCGGATTCTTCGCCATCATCGGCTGCAACGCGCCGCAGCGCTAAGAGCAGACAGAAGAAAAGCGGCCTCATCTGGTATACCTCAGAGATGGGATATCAGATCTTAACAATTTCAAAAGCATCATGAAAAAAATTATTTATCATTTAACGGGAAAGCTCGCATAGATAACCGTCCTGAAGAACAACAAACCAATGCAGGCCCTGGCACCGGGTGTGGCTGAGCCCATGCTCTTGAGGATTGGCACTACGGACATCCTGACTCTTTAAAGAGATCTCATAGGCCTGCGGACTGATGGAATCCAGTCCGATGCGAGTCAGGTGTAGATCAGCGGTTGTTACATAATTAGAGACAAGTTACGGAGTAGACAACACTAGTTCCTTTCAGGGTCCGCTCGTCCCGGTTCCAACTTTCCACCGTGTAGTCGATGCGGGGTCATATTCGCTGAGCATTATGCTGATGCCTGATCCTTGAGTCCTACTCTGTAGACTAGTTGCTTTGCCATTGAACATATGGATGAAGACAATCTGCAATGCTGTTGTGTTTCACTCCCCGCCAGGAACTCGTGTGACTCCACAACGAATGAATCTCTCAGACTCTCACAGCCTATCGGAGTATCTCGTCAAGACACTGCTCCGGTCCATTTCGGTGCCGAGTCTGGCCTGTGTAATTCAATCAAGAACTCCTGGGAGGAGACAGATAGACGCTACTAGATAGTGCCGAAGAGGAGGTCAAATTATGCAATAAATGAGCTAGTCAACAGAAGGCACTTATGAGGACTTCTCCTTCCGAGTGAGTCGTCTTCGCGGGCAGTTACTAGAGCGAGCAATGCATATCCTTGATCTGCCTGGCGTTATTAATAGCAGGAGATTAGAGAAACAGCTGTGCCGAGAATGTCGATGGAGAGGGATCAGGCCAACAGCCTAACAGCCTAACAGCCTAACAGGCAACAGGATTGTGAACCCGTCCGTTAGTCGACAGGTATCAAATTTGTGCTGATGCTCATATTCCTGCGTGGATTATCGGAGGTGAATCCGACGTGTCACAATGATGACATCTCTTCTCATAGTAACTTTAGAAGAAGCGATCTGATTACTTTTCGAGAAACATTGCTGTGGGCAGTCCTTCACTACTCCACTATTTTATGCTGAATTGCACTGCTTATTAATCAACATAACACATCGGCGTCTTTCCCTCTAATTAGCGGACCCATCTTTTGCTTCACCATCTTTCTATCAGCATCATGGACTACACCCGCATTATCCTCGCTCTCGCTGTCTACATCGGTAAACACTCCCGCCCCTCTTTCCCTCGCAACCCTTCTCACTAATCCGATAGCAATCCGCCTTATCTACAACCGCTTCTTCTCCAGCCCCGCCGCAACCATGTCTCACGGCAAAGTTATAGCTGTCGATAAGTAATACTCTCCATAACCCCAATTCAGAAACAGAATGACTAACAATATACGCAGTCCCGTCATCTACAAAGCGCTTACCTCGTCCGGCCCTGTCGTCGTCGATTTCTTCGCCACTTGGTGTGGGCCTTGCGTGGCCATCGCGCCTAAATTGGGGGAGCTAAGCGAGACGTACCCCAATGTGCGATTCATCCAGGTCGATGTCGACAAGGTGCGCTCTGTGGCGCAGGAGATGAATATCCGGGCGATGCCGACGTTTGTGCTGTATAAGGATGGTCAGCCTCTGGAGAAGAGGGTTGTTGGTGGGAATGTGAGGGAGTTGGAGGAGATGATTAAGAGTATTTCTGCTTAGCGGCGTGCTCTTGTCCACAGCATCATATATGGATGCATCATGCTTCAATTGAGCGATATCGACGACGCAATGCAAGCGGAACTGTTCTCTAGGAATGAGATTACGTATCCAATACGGCTGACAGAAACCGGTGCCTATATATCCGTTCAGTCTGCTCTAATGAGGTATTCAAATATTACATAGCATAGAAAGATGACCAATCCTCCAAATTGCAGACAACGTAGTCTTGCAGACTCCATTAACTAGCCGACTCTCCCCACGTGTCCAGTCCCCGCAGCTCACTCCACTGTTTCTCCAGCTCGCGTATCATCCATCGCGTCCGCCAACCCACTGTCTTTTCCACATGGGCCAAGAAGCGCAGTGACCCGCGTTGTTCGAGAGGATGTCGCAGGCAGTACCCATCTATCATGGTCAGAATGATCGAGAAAGCTCAAACAAGAGACTTACAGCGGTGTAATAAATGGCATGCCATAAAGTATGCGTTCTCGACGGTTTCATTTGACATGGACAAGCCGATGACCATGTTTAGATGTGATGCGATTGTATTCTAGCCCGTTAGTAGCGGTCTTTCCCATATCTATACGATCTTACCTCTACTATACGCTGCGAACGGGCCAGCTCATAGTCACTAGCGGCTTGCCAGTGTCGATTTGACAGAGTGAGAAAGATACACGACGTGTGATAGTACTGCATTCCGACCACTGCGAGTGTCAGCTCAGTGCGGTCCATGGGCTCAGATACATACCTGCTGGCGGAGACATCATCCAGATCTCAGGAAACGGTCGATTCTCCGCAATGTTCGCCGGCTTGTACTTCAACGGTTGCCAACTGATTGGCTTTCCTCGATGCCATTGCTCAACGCTATCGGAGAGTTGGCGCCATGTCTCCTCGTCCATGCCACGGGTGTATGCTCCTCCGCACTGAAGAATCCGAGCACAGAGGTAGATGATGACATTGGCATACGCAGCATCGTCTCGCCGGTGAAAGACAGCCGAGCGCTCATAGTTCTCCAGGTCCAACTGCATGTGTTGATACTGGACGACAGATGCATATATCGCCTGCCGCAGGAACTGCCAGCTCACGGCTTCGGCTAGGCCCCCGGATGACGCCGACCTGGACATGGTGTTTAGGAGACGGTTTGATCCGAACAGATGGTACTTCTCGTCGTTGTTGCTTTCCAGTTCCTCGTAGATGCGTAGAATCACAACCGTGATAAGGAGGTTGTCATCGTAGGTATCCTCCGGCTGCGCCAGCGCAGCGATCAAGAGTTCCAGGCATTGGCCGTGATATTCGGCGGCTTCCCAGTCGCTAGCGTCTGATAGGATGGCGTCATGTCTGGCTGCGAGAGCTAGAACTGCCTTGAGGACCATAGGCACTTCTAGTGCCCGGCGTGGTACCTCGGTCGAAAAATGAGAACGTGAGTCGCAGATGTCGGTCTGTTAAAGTCAGAATGTACTACCACTGTACCATCTACGAGGGGAGCTTATATACCCAAGGAGCTATCTTGGAGATGAATGAACGTAACAAGTATGCTTCGCGAGAGGACAACTTTGGCGAATTGATTGCCCGCGGGCTTATCGGACTCCACGAGGATGTCGGCTCTGTCCAGGCTGTTGATGCCAAAGGAGATACTATGCTATTTAACGCACTTGGCGAGATGGCAGTAGAGGAGGGAAGTATCAGCTGGGTCTCGTCAGGTATTGATGGGGTCGGTGCTGGGAGGTCTAGCGGGTGGTTTTCAATCACTGAGTCGTAAGACTTTGTTGGTCCCGGTATGAGTAGAGACGATATGTCCGGGAATACAGCTCTAGGTGTTTCTGGAATCTGTTCTGAAGGCGGTGCTTCATCGTGAGAGTCTTGCGGCGCATCTGTCTCTTCCCACTCTGCAGAGTCATCTGCCGATTCAAGTACGAACGTCACTGACATCGTTAGCAACGTCGGACCATAGTTAAAGGAGGAGAATGGAAGTACATGATGTCGGAGTCTTCACCCAAGTCTGATGCGGATCCCACACGAGGTCGAATTTCGACGCTGTCCCATGGCTCTTCTGATAGACATGATGAACAGTCCGAAACCGAAATGGTGGATCGAGCCGACACACCCGTCCCAAGCGCGAGCAGGGATTACAGGACGATGCTCCTTTCCGAACTGTGCACCGGATATGACGATGGCGACAGCGCTCGCAGCCCCTTCCGATCCTCATGGCCGATTGCCTTGTGAATGACGTTGAGCGCTGAGCTCTGCGGGGGAAAGGCAAAGGGCGGACGGCAACATGGACAAGACCTGGTTGTCAGTCTGCAGGTAAAATATGAAGAATTGCTGTCTGATAACGCTTTCGACGGCATCAGCGAAAAGCATATACCAAGCAGCTGCTGGAATCACGGGCACGTTTTGGAGTCGCAGCCTTCCCCGCATCTTGAGTAGAACATCCTGCCAATGATTGGTTCGCCCGCATTTCCCCAGAAATCCACTCCCAAAAGTTGTTTCGACTGTGGGTAGTCGCATCAATGAATTGAACACGCTCTGCTTTGGATTATTATAAGATAGAAATGGTAGGCGATTTAGTCTGGGGAGTTGTCAGGCGTCGTTATAATCCTATAATAACTTGGCTCATGATGAGTGAAGCAGCCTATCCAAAAGAATCGCTCATTCCACTACAAATTTACAATTACTCAAAGGTAGAGCAGTTCGCAGCTGTAGCCGTAAATGGCTGAGATACCCAAGTTTACTCCTTTGAGCGCCATTGCTAAGATAGAGTAGTTAATCCACGGATGAAATTCGTTGCAGTTCGTAATCATTCATTCAATCCCGAGCTGTACTACCCTATGTAAGAATCTATAATATGTTCATCAAATGACAGCGTATAAAGCTGTTGGTATCGTCGTTTCAAGAAGGTCGAGTGCCGCATGCGCATGCCGATTACTTACACACTGATAGTCTTGAAGACACTATTGCAAGGAGTCAGCATTTGGCTCATAGAACATAGAACAATTTCCAGTAAAGGACTTACCCGAATCCGGAGCTGCCTGTTGCCATGATGGTACCAGGCATCTGAGCCTGCCAATGAATCTCCTTGACAGACTCCATGTAATGAACGAACAACAGCTGGGGAGGCACTTCGGCCAGGCCAGCCTCGCGGCTCTCTTCTTCATCAAGCTCCACAGCCAGATCCCAGAGAGTGACGGTATTATCGGCAGAACCAACAGCAACAACACTGTCATCTGTGGGGTGCCATTCGATACTGGTGACGGGCTCACGATGGAAGTCGAAAGCCGCGACTGGCGATGCTTTGATCGGTGACGAGGGGG